CCTGAGTTCAATCCCTGGGACCTACATGGTAGAAGACGAGAACCAACGCCCATAAATTGTCTTCTGACTTCCACACATGCCCTGTGGTGTGTGTGTGTGTGTGGTGTGTGTGTGTGTGTGTTTACATAATAAATGTAATTTTAAAATGTTAAAGTCTGAAAAAAATTAAGTGTTAGGTATTTGAAAGATTTTTCAGCTTCAGTTATGAAAGAGAAAACACTATCACAAAAGGTATTGAATGAAAAAAAGAAGGAAAGGACATGACTTCTCCTAGGTATAGTGGAGGAGGAGGTTTATTATAGATAAAAGGGAGAGCATGGCCAGAGGCAGGAACATCTGGGAGAGTCCAGGATGGACATTGCTCTGAGCCAAGAAAAGAGATGGGTAGGGAAAAGGAAAGAAGAGAGAGGTGAACCAAGTGCAGCAACCCAGGAGGCCAAAGGTACAAAGGATAGGTAACCAAAATGTCTAAATTTTAGGGATGAGCCTCTGGGGAAATTGCAACCCAGCCTTGGGCTGAATAGTTCAGGGTAGAGGGCAGACGTGTGCCAGCAAGTAAGGACTGAGGGACACACACACAATAATAAGCATTTAAAATAATGTTTGGATACTCTCTTGCTATAAAGGAGGGGTGGTGAGACAGGGTCTTTCCTGGAACTTTCTATGTAGATTAGGCTGATGTTGAGCTCACAGAGATCCTCCAGCCCCTGTCTTCTGAGTTCTGGGACTAAAGGTGTGCATCACACCTGGAGCCCCAGTCTAACTTGCGTGCGTGTGTGTGTGTGTGTGTGTGTGTGTGTGTGTGTGTGTGTGGTTTTTGAGAAACGGTTTCTCTGTGTAACAGCCTTAGCTGTTCTGAAACTAGCTCTTGTAGACCAGGCTGGCCTCAGACTTACAGAAATCCACCTGCCTCTGCCTCCCAAGTGCTGGGATTAAAGGTATGCTCCACCACCGCCTGATCCCAGCCCAACATTTGAAAACATCAGTATACCCTAAGTGATCTAAAGACTTAAGCAGTTACTGGTAATACTTCAATGGCGTTTCAGAAAAATAGAAAAATCTACCCTCAACAGGGCATGGTGGTACATGCCTGTAACCCCAGCACTTGTGAGAGAAGCTGAGACAGCAGGATTTCAAAAAAATGTGTGATACGCAATATAGGTTGATATGCAGATGCCTACAGTCTTCCACATCTGTGAACTCTGCATCAACACATTCAACCAGCGGTGACAGAAAATATTCAGTGAAGGAGTGAGATAGTTCAGCTACAGAGTGAGACTGCCTCAGTAAGAAAGAGAATAAGAGGAGGAGAGAGGGAAGAAGGGAGGGAGAGAGACCCTAAAATTCACATAGAGTTTCAAGGGGCCCTTACTAGCCCCCCCCCCCAAAAAGCCAACATGAAGGCCTCATACTTCCTGTTTTCAAATTTAACTACAAAGCTACAGTAATCAAAACAGTGTGGTACTGGCATTAAATCTGATATATAGACCAGTGGAAAATAACAGAAAACCCTGTAGATAAACACAGCTGGACGATGGTGGTGCACACCTTTGATCCCAGCACATGGGAACCAGAGGCAGGCAGATGTCTGTGAGTTCGAGGCTAGTCTGACCTACAGAGCGAGTTCCAGGATAGCCAAGGCTACATAGTGAAACCTGTCTCAAAAAAACTGAAAAAAAAACCACACACATATTTAGAATCACTGGTGCTCATGCAATATTTGTAAGCTATATGCAGTATCAAATGACGTCCTAAAAAAGATTTTATGAGTATGGCTATTTTGCCTGAATAATGTGTGTGTGTGTGTGTGTATAACACATGTATGCACTGCCTTTGGAGACCAGAGGTATTGAATCCCCGGGAACTAGAGTTGCAGCCAGTTGTGAGCTGCCATCTCTGCAGCCCCGCCAAATGACTTTTTTTTTTATGTTGAAGGAGTTTATTGTAGGTATGTGTGAGAGCATAGTCAGAAGCAGGGACATCTGGGAGAGTCCAGAGTGGACATGACCAGGCTGAGCTGGACCATATGGGGAGACAGGAAGGGGAGGGAGAGGAGAGAGGGGAACTAGGTGCAGCAGCCAAGAGGCCAAAGGTCCAAAGCACCAGATAACGTTTAACAAAAGTGTCAAGACAGAGAAAGGACAAGCTCTCATAAACAGTTCTGGGAAACTGAGTATTCACATACCAAGCGGAGAGCAAAACTGCTTTTTGGCAGGTTGTGAAGGAATTGGAACTCTTGTATGCCTCTGATGGCAATAGAAGATGATGCAGCTATCTTGGAACACTGGCAGTTTATCACAAAACAAAGCAAAGAGAAGACTTAGCAGTTCTACTCTTTTTTGGTGTATAGCTGAAGAATTAAAATTAGGGGCTGGAGAGAGAACTCATTGCCTTAGAGCACTCGCTGCTCTCCTAGGAGACCTGGGTTCAGTTCCTAGCACCCACATGGCAGCTCACAACCACCTGAAAATCAATTCCAGGGATCCAGCACCCACTTCTGTCCTCTGAGGGTACCAGGCATGCATATCATGCAGGCATAAAGGCACATAAAGCATTCATAACACGTGCATTTTTAAAAACTAAAACCAGGGACTCATCCATCTTTTACAGTGTGTCCTAACAGTTTTATGTCAACTTGATATAAGCTAGAGTTATCTGAAAAGAAGGAACCAATTGAAAAAATGCCTCCATAAGATCAGGCTGTAGGGCACTTTCTTAATTATTGATCTATGGAGGAATGCCCAGTCTATGGTGGGTGATGCCATCCCTGGCTGATGGTCCTGGTTTCTGTAAAAAAAGCAGGCTGAGCAAGCCATGGGGAGCAAGCCAGTAAGCAGCACCCCTCCATGGCCTCTGCATCAACTCCTGCCTCCAGGTTCCTGTCCTGTTTGAGTTCTTGTCCTGACTTCCTTCGATGATGATCAGTGCTTTGGAAGTATAAGTCAAATAAACCCTTTCCTCCCCAAGTTGCTTTTTGGTCATGCTGTCTCATCGCAGCTATAGAAACCCTGACTAGGACATAGTGACTCCACAGCACCATTACCCACAATACCCAAGGTGTGGGCAATTCAGTGTCAAGAGGGATGAAAGGGAAACAAAATGTGGACACTCGAAAGAGGAATCAGTCACTTTAATTTTATTTTTGGATGTTTTTGAGATAGGGTCTGACTATATAGACCAGGCTAGCCTGAAACTCACAGAGATCTACCTGTCTCTGCCTCCTGAATGCTGGGATTAAAGTTAATTAAAAAATAGTTTATTTTCATATGTAAGAGTGTTGCCTGCATATATGTATGTGAGCCATGTATGTGCCTGGTGCCGAAGAAACTAGGAAAGGTCGTCAGATACCCTGGAACTGGAGTTAGGGATGGTTGTGAGCCATAATGTGGGTGCTAGTAAACAAACCGAGGTCCTATATAAGAACAGTTAGTGTCTTAATATCTGAGCCAGCTCCCTAGTCCCTCAGTCAACACTGAAAAGGAAGGCGATTTAGATGTGTACTATGACATCCATGAACCTTGAAAACATACTAAATGAAATACATTCACAGATGGACATTGTGTGAGCACCCAATGTGTGGGGTACACAGGCAAGTTCAGACTCAGGTGGGCACTCAGGGTTCGGAGATGAGGACTCTGTTTAACAGAGTTTCTAGTGTGTGAGATGGCTCTGGGAACGGTGATGATGACTGCACTGCCCTGTGAATAGTAATACTACTGCTGTGGTTACCGTGATACACCTTGTCATGCACATTTGAAGTGATGCCCTAACATAAAACTAAAAGGCAGTTTGGAAAAAGGCCTATGTAGGAGGGGCTTGGTTGTGTGGTCTTTTGTACAAGCCTGCTGCTCACTCTGTTGTTAAGTACCGAGTTAGCTCCAGCTGCTTGGGGCCTGAGGGTGATCGGAATTCACAGAAACAACCCCTCCCTTAAGGGAGGAAGTTTAAATTATCAGGTCAATTAGGAAAGATACAACCGAAAAAAAAAAAAAAACCCAAATTTCATTCACACTTCAAGGAGGTGTTTCCTGGTTGGGTGCCACTTTTATTATTTTTGGCTCAGGCTACTGAAAGCCCCACAGACCCTTGGAAGGTACAATGTGATCTTTGATTCCCGTTTCAGGGATCAAAGCAAGTGAGTTTGGGTGTAAACGCAGATAACATTTCAGAGATCTTTCAGGAAAGGAGTCACCAGAGCAGGGCAGACAGGGAGCTGGTGTGTTATGCATGTGCTTGCTTACAGAAGTATTACCGCGTAGCAGAGCCTTCCAGTCCCGTCCAAGGACTGGTCGGTGGACCATCTAAATACATGTGTCTGGGTTGTGGGATGGTATCACGAGTACACAAAGGAGCAAGAGGGACAAACCCTCATATGCATACGAGGGGCACAAAAGCTCATCTCCCGGTCTTTCTAAAATGTCTGGGTGCCGACTGGGCTCCCCAACGTTGGGCAGCACACTAGGCTAGGCACTGCCCTGTCCAAGAGGCGTTGGCAGCCAGCCCTCACCGTCCTCTCTAGGTTCAGACACACACCCACGAGACGAGGAAAGTCACAGGCCTTGCTTGCTTGTCACACAGCCTGCAGCTGCTATGATTCCAAGCGGAGGGATGTGCTGCCAGCATGCTCTGCCTCTCGCGGCTGGGGTGGAAAAATGCAGACACGAGCCTTCTCAGGCTCTGAGCATGGGCACCAGGCGATGAGAGGTACTGTGTAGACCTGCCACTCAGAAGATGCGCTCCCCAGGTCTGCAGGCTCAGAAGCCACTCAGTACCGGAGCCCTCGCAACCCACGCTGGCGCAGAGCAAGCCTCCAGCTGACAGCAAAGACTGCGAACGCAGCAGCCCCGCCTCTGCTCCTGGGGGCGTGGTACCAAGCGCGCGCTCCCATCACCCCCCGCGCCGCGCCGTCACGCTGGCACGGTCGGACGTCTGCTAGGGAGAGGCCTCGCGGTTCACGGCGCAGGCGCGGCGAGCCTTGCGTGCGCGCGCAGTCCCGCGGAAAGGCGAGCGTGAGGCGTGCGGGATTCCAGAGTGGGCGCGTCCGGGGTGGCTGTGTGCACGCCGGAGGGGGGCGTGGCTGACGAGGCACTCAGCGGAATCCTTGGAGCCGGCTGCGGCAGGCTACGATCTCGGCAACCGGGTTAGTGGGGCTGGGTCAGCGCGAAGTGGGGCGGCGGGCTGAAGTGTGGGCTCTGTCCCGAGGACTCACGCCCTGCTCCCCTGTTCTCTCTCAGGCTCTTCTCGCTCTTCACTTTGCAGGTGGCTGTGGGATCTTGGCCCCGGAAGCACGCCGCTCTGGCCGGTGCAGATCCTCTGACCCTGGCGGTCTCAGGTAGGTGGGCTTCCTTGACCCGGAGCTTGTGAGCTGGATGCCCTGCAAGGCGGTTGCTGGCGGGCAGGTGGGCGGTGCAGGTAGTCTAGCCTCCATTCACATTTTGGCTTTGGACAAGTTGTGTTCTCGGGTTTCCCAGGTCTTGGAGCAAAGAACTCAGCCAGTGTTGTCAGGTGCTGCCCAGCTTGCGGAGAAAGATTCCCACGCGCCGCGGCCCTCAGTCTTCTAGTAGATTGCTGTCCAGTCCAGGAAGAGGAGCGAGATTACCTTCTGCCAGGCAGGGTTGATGGAGAGAAGAGAGAGAGTTCCACAGACTGCTAGGCAAGGGCTGTGCGGGGGATCTTGAGCTCAGCAAGTGAGTGACTGGCTCAGGGTTAGGAAGACCTAACTGAAAGCAGGAATTGATGTCTGTGCAAGGGTGGGGGCGCCTCTCTCCTAGGTTGCCAGAGGCACTCAGGCACCAAGATGAGTGGGCAGACAACATCTAAGGTTCATAGTTGGGGCAGGAGGTCTGGGTGGCACACTGGCTTCTGGGCATGCGAAATGGTGTTTGTGGGCAGCCTAACACGGGACTGGGACCTGATTTTTGGGCATTACTTCTTGAGAACTCACTGAGAGACTGGATCTGGCTGGTGATTTTGATAAGAATCCCAGGTCAAGGGCTGGACTTTGAGGTGTGAGTCAGGGGTCTGCATGGGATGGTCCAGAATGCTTGGGTGCTAGAGGTAGGTGCTGGCAGTACTGGCAGCCAAGTGTTGCAAGCCCCTTGGGAGGTGCTGGCACCAAGATCAACCTTGCTGTACCTTTCTGGAGAAAGTGACTGGGTCGGGGGTAAACACATGGAAAGCCAGGTGTGAAGATACATGCTGGACTCGGTGGTCCTGGAGAGCTTGTGGAGAGCTGGGCTGTGTGTGCAGGGATGAAGCAAAGAGTTGAGAGAGGTCCCAGGTGGTGGATTTCCCTCTTCAGAGAGACTGGAGCAGTGTGAGAGCCCCAGAGGAGGGCTCCTTGTCCTCTGTCCTTGTGTGGTCTTGTGACCACAACTTGGAATAAGGGTGGGTCCAACCATCAAAGGGAGCTCTGGCCAGGTGCTGGTGGTAACAGGAAGAAACTCCAAATTGGAATTGCAGAGTTTGACCTGTGGGGATTGTAGTGCCAGGTTCTTGACTGGGATGAGGGTGAGGGAGGTGTGCTTAGAATTGGGTAGATTTGCCTGCAGGTGGTCTCTGGAATCCTGGGAGCAGGACGAAACAGTCCAAGCAAGGTAGCCTGTTTTTGTCAGGTGTGTGTGGTGCTGGGTGTGCAAGGATGTTTTGGCATGCTCCGTTCTTAGCGGTTTATAATGTTCCAGCAGCCAGGAGCCCACTCATTCCACTCTAAAGGGTAGTCCATAGGCTGTGAAATGATTTGTGGTTAAGTTTGTCTCTACGGCCAGGTTCTCCTCTCTGCCATTTACTAACTGGTGTGTGGCTGCACACAAATCACTTGGGCACTCTTTCGTAGCTATGATAATAGTGGGTAGTAGGTGGTCAGCGTTCAGCACAAGTGGTACTGTAATACACACAAATGACAGTTGCTACTGTCATTGCACTAATATTCCCTGATGGTCTGATGTGGCCCCTTCTAGAGTTGACAGTGTCTATCACTGCACCTTTAAAGTCACAGGCAGCATTTGTTGTTTCGTTCACCCTCGCAGGCCAGCCCCGGGGCCCCTCCTTCTACTCTGAGCAGCTAATCAGGTCCCTGGGAGTTTTCTGCCTGATGCCGCCCTGCCAGCTCAGTGATGATGGTTGGGCCTTGTTCCTGCTCTTCCCCACCTTGTTTTTGGACAGATTTCCTTGGATGATGGCCTGCATCTGACAGTCCCTCGGCTCTTACTGGCTCAGCTCCCCTGGTCCTCAGCGTTTCCCTGGAATGGCAGTCTGCCACACCCTGTCCAGCTGCTTCTTGGCCCGTTGTGTTGTCCCTGCCTCTTCTGTCTGCACCAGGCTCTGAGTGGGCCCTTCTTCCCTCTACTCCTGGCATGCCTCATGACAGGTGCCATTGGCAGAGCCCTAGTAATCCTACCCAGATGGCAGCCAGTTTCACCAGTGCACGCTGTTGGCAGCAGACGGATGGTACCTCATGGCATGACCCTTTGGTGGATTCCTGGATTGAGAGACCCTGCTGTGGGAACTCCATGTGTGTGTACATCACCATGGATTGGAATAGTACAGCTAATGATTCTTCTGGCAGTAAACCTCCAGCTGGATGCTGGCCTGTGACCCCTGGCCACTCAGGATGGACTTCCACTGGGTTCCTGGCTCCAACCTGGTACCTTTGATGGCTGTCAATGGCTGCTAGACTGCTTTTTTGGCCCAGCTGGGAGAGTGTATGTCTTTCACTTTGAACACTATCAGGACAGTCTCAACTGTATCTGTGAGAGCCATACTTGACTGACAGGCCTGGCCTACCTCAATAGGGACCTGCCCTTGCCTGATGATTATGAATTGTTCTGACAGGATCTCAAAGAAGTTATTCAAGACCCAAACAGTTTTGTTGAGTACCATGCCACTGTCTCCTGTCCTCTGCCTTCCACCAGTGCTGCCCACAGTAAGACACTGCATAGTTGGGTTCTTAATGACCCTAGCTCTTAGTATGGATGTTCTCCTGAGGCCTGCTTTAGCTGCTCCCTTTAACCCCTGCTTGGTTCAGGCCTAACTATACCCAGAGTTCTTGGCCTGAGCAGCAGCTGGACAGGGAGAGCTCCCTGGCCCCCGGGGGCCCCTACCCAGTCTGGTTCTGCATGCATCCATGATTACAGTGCTGTGAGGCCAGCCGCCTCCCGTTCAGAGGACACAGACCCAAGCTTGGCTCTGTACTTTCAAAATCCGTTAACTCCTGTTCTTAGAAGCTAGAATCAGTCATCCAGGGAGCTGAGAACCTCAGAAAACAGAAGAGTTCTAAAACCTAAAGAGAGCAGGAAGTATCTCTGAGTACCCCGCAGTGGCTGCAGCAGTGCTCCTCCTGATAAAGTGCTGTGCACAGCGAGGGGCCCCACAGCACCCAGACTGCCAGCACAGTGCTGCCTACAGATGACTCCGCCTACCCACCGCTGGAAAGTCGCCCTGCTCCTACCAGAATGTGGGCCTGTCTTGGCCTTCTAGCTGAGGTCCTACCTCCCACCTGGGAGTGCTGTTCCACCTGGCCACTTCCTACAGGAAATACCCTGTAGTCAGCCCCCACAGGGTGTTTCTGGGCCCTTCCCTGCTCTCTGTGACCTGTGATGTTAGGCTACAGTAGAAAGAAGGCTGCTTAAAGGAAGCCATTGCTCCTTTTTAAATCGTTTGGTTGGTTGGTTTGGTTTTTTGTTTTTGAGACAATGTTTTACTCTGTAACCTTGACTGGCTTGGAACTTGATATGTACTTGAACTCACAGAGAACCCTCTGAGTGCTAGGACTAAATTTTTTTTCAAATGGTGTATCTGTGGAGTATAATATAATTGGATGCAGCTATATATAATGATCCACTCTGGTGATTGCCATTTTCTTTTCTTAAACGTTAATCGTTTCTTTGTATAGGATTATATTTACACTCCCCGTGTGGTTCCTTGTAGTATATGAAATACATTATTGTTAACTCTTAAGTGCACACTGTGCTGTGGAGTTATCTAACCTTGATGTCTCCTCCTGGTTTTTCTGTCCTGTTACCGATATCTGCCTTCTGCTTCTGCTAGATCAACTTTTATAGCTTCCGCATACAGATATGTGGCATTTGTCTCTCTGTACCTGGCTTATTTTACTCAACAGTGCCTTTGGTTCCATATTGCTTAGATTTGTTTTGTTGTTGTTTATGGTTAAATAATTGTATTCATATACTGCCTTTTTTTTAAAAAAGAATCATCTGTCATTGTACACTTCAGTGGATTTCATTTCTAATGTGCAGTGCAGAAGCAACCATGTTCATCCTTTTAAGGGATAAGATGACATCTTGGCTGAGAACCATCTTCCTGTGTGTTTATTTGAAGTCCTGACCAGTTGGAAGGTTTGAATGCAGGAGGATAGGAGCCTCTCGCTAGGCTCAACTCTAATCATTCCCTTTTTTACATGGCAGTGTTCTCACTACACCTGGTTATGCTTAAAAAAGCCCCTCCCTGCTTTGCAAGTGTATACACACACACACACACACACACACACACACACACACACACACCAGTATTCTGCCACATTGATGCTTCAACACTTAAAACCTCAGTGATGGAAATGACTTGCATCTCCTGGCAGATTGAGCTTCCATGCCAAGGTTTTAGCATAGATAAGTGTCCCTGAAAGCATTGCTCGTCTCAATAAATATGAGTTGACTTACTGCTGCTAATAGTTCTTGTTTGTGAACAGAAGTTCTATTCCCATTCTGTCAGCAGAGCCCAGCCAAGTGTCACAGGTGTGCAGCGGTGGTTCCCAAATGAGGCTATAAAGGTCTGATCGGAGGAGGTGGAGCTAGATGGGGGAGGGAGTACCAGGTGTTGGGTGGTCTTGGGAGCTAAGTTCTGAGAGAGCTCTGGGTAAAGAGAAGAGCAGTAGCAGATGGGAATGTGAGGCCTGGGGTTGGAATGAAGAAAGACCAGTTCTGCACAAGGATGAGGTTTTAGGGAGAGCTGCGCATACACACTCCTTTGAGCCGGATTGACTTGAGGATGGGGACACAGCGTGTACCTTAAGAGTTCCTGGACGCTGACACAACCATAGACTGAAGAGCAGCTGGCTGCTGTAGGAGAGCCATGATGATCAAGCATCTGGTGAGACTCGGTCATTGGATTGCCTGGCAACTTACTAGGAGATGTTTTGAGTCCAGGTGGTTTATTTGTAAATTATTTCTAAGCACAGACATTATATGCACAAAACAGCTGGGAATGTTGCTCACAGAAGTGATTTTGCGGTAGCCCTAGGCTTCTGTTCTAGGTTGTCCATCGCTGGACCGTCTGCCCTCTTTAGTTGTCTGCGGCTGGACCTGCCTGTGGCTC